CGAATATCTTGGCGCATCTTTTCTCGCTCACGTTCCATTTTACGGTGCCGCTCCTTCCGTCGTTCCTCTTGTTCCAAACGAGCAGCGACCACCTCAGGATCCTCACCGGATTCCGTCCTTTCACCGCCTTCACCGTCATTATCACCGGTCAATTTATCAAGACCACCTGCAAGGGGCTGAAAATCTTTCAGAACACAGGCAAAGACACTGGATAGATTTTTAAAACGAAGCCTACGAAAATGTAAGGAAAAATTTAGAAAATGTGTGAAGAAAACCGAAAATTCTTAAAAATTTTTGCAAAAATCAACTGGTACCTTTCATTTCGTTCAGCTTCCCACCAACCATTTGTTTCATTATAAAACCGGCCATTTTGTTCTCTGGTCTCAAATAAAAAATGTTTTGAAACATTCAATTAAGCAGATCAAGCGTAAATTCGCGCAGTAATTTCGAATAAGAAAACAACGGAAACTGTCTACCTCACCGGAAAATTGTTGTTTAAGCAAAGTGGGAGCGAGCTGTTGCTTGAATGCTAGAATGCCGATGGTTCTTTTGCTGAAGAACTGCTTATAAGCAGGTTGCAGATTTGATTTCACATACTTGTTTGAGTTCATTCACTAGATTAATCGTTTTACTGCGGAAATTGATTTTTCCAAACGTCCATGACGAGGGGCTACAAATTTGATTTGGGATTTGACTTGGCGGGCCAGCAAATACATTTATAGGAAGTTGCCGTTTCTTTTTGAGGGGGAAAAGGGGCATGGCAAATTTAGCTTAACGATTTAGCTCAACGATTTTTTTTTTGTTGTTGGTGGCTCCGCATACATAAATACTTATAACACAGACGCAAGCAGTACACACATGCACCCATACATGCACACATACACAATATGAGTAAAAACATTCAAATATGCACGAATAAAAGCAATTTGTGTGGAGAAGCAGGCCGAGAATCGATTTTTGTTGTCAGTCTTATCAAAATTGCTTGCATCGCAATGCCCATGCTTCAACAAAAATGACACATCAAGATGGAATTTTTAATTAGGCAACATGGAGGATGTGTTATGTGTGGCTCCGAACTGTGCTGCTCGCGGTGGAACTATTATAGCGCTTGCTAGCAGCTGTGCAAAAGTGTTTTGATGTTTTTTCATTAAAATGAAAAAGCAGTGAGCACAGTCAGGCGCTCTGCATGGGATGGAAGTGCAGAGGATGTTTGTTCTGTTTGTTGAGTAAATACAGTGATAATATAAACGAAATCATTGTCTGAGTCTCATCTCTTACTGCATGATGTCGCGAAATTCAATGAACTGCGCCAAGAGTTATAACATGTACAAATTTTTTATTTCTTAGGGCGCATTTTTTTCCGTATTTTTCGTGTTTTTGTGCGTTCCTGCATATATGCAAATGCAAGAGCGCATATTGGCAAGAGGCTGTCTGTTTGTGTGTGTCTGTATGTTCGCACAGTTTGAAGTCGAGAACGAGAAATGCTAGAAGGCTGAAACTTTGGGACTGTGTGCCCATCACCTGTGCAACCCTCTGGTAATGCGTTTTT